TGTCACAGAGAGCACGACATTAGTCGGAAAGAGACATATGAATTAAATGCAGGGGCACCACTCTCGGAGATTGTATTAGACATGTGCGATCGCACAATGGCAATCCCTACAAGGGTAATCAGGCCTTGTATGGGTGTATAATACCTTATGTTCAAGTCTGGTAAACTGTCGCCGCCATTGGCGGTGAGCATGTCGGACCCGTGCAGTGCCATTGTTATTGACTCGTTCTATATTGTAAGGACCTTATAGTACTTGGGCTGACACGGAATCGCGGTGCTGATACTGTTGAAACCTCACAGTATCGTTTAAACAAATTGGTAATTGCAACGCTCTCTTAGCCTTATTCGCGACCTCGTCCCTAGATAGGGTCTTGAAGTTCGAGACTCATGACTAGTCCTTCAGCGAATAGTCATTTGAGACAGGGTCTTCATGACCTCTCGTAGTCATACTTAGGTTGTCGATGAAACATCGCTCTAGAATATTTAGCCAGCGTGGAAAGCTTCCACGCTACTAGACAGCTACTAGCTGAAGTTTCCACGTGTTCCGGAAATGGACCGTGGAGTACGTAGAGTTATTATCATAATCTACGATATCACACTTCGAGGCCTCCCGTGGGAGACCAACTTCAATGAGCTTCACAACGATCTCTCTCATGGATTAGTTTTCGTAGCTTTCTAATCTCTCTCATAACTTTCATTCTCTCAAACTCAAAACACTCGAAAGATCTTTACACTAGCTTTTAGCGTAGTGCAAATTCAAATCCCTATCGGAAACCGTCAATGACAAACTCACCCGCTACCATAGGAGGAAAGGTGCAAACCAAAAGTTAGCTGAAACCAATTCAGTCAGTGGCCTCGCGCAGATCTTCAGAGCCGGCTGGGAGCTACGAGGGTTCCACACACTCTTCGACTACATCATTGGTTCAAAGACATTAACCAACCAAGACAGCAAAGCGTTAAGCGGTTGGACCTGGCGACAAGACAATGAGATAGTAGGAGGTCTAGCCGCAGTGTTGACATCAATTCGAACAAATCCGGAGCTGGTCGACGATTTCGTCCTAGCCCTATTCAGTGAAGTTGTCGAAGACAGATGGCCCGTCAGCATCAGAAACATACTCACAGCAAAGCTAACGTCATCTACATCATTGAACAACACGCAACCAGCTACTACGAACACAATCCACGTCATACTCTTGTCCATGCTGTCCACAAAGCATTGCATCACGCCCGTGTCTCGGACACCACCTTCAATCACTGGTGTAAGGAAGTCCGGCATGGATTCGGCATTTACAACTTCATGGCGCTACCCATCGAGCTCTTTCCTCCAGACACAATCCGGGAGACAAAAATTGACCCACGCTCCCTGTTCGACCGGTTCAATAGCCTCTGCAGCTCGTATAACAGCCTTCATGCCCAAAAGATGAATCTCGAAGATGATGTCTCCAGACTTCGCCTTGATGTTGCTCAGTTGACCCGCAGTAATCAAGTATTAGAAAAGGCGGTAGCCAACCGGAATGAACTCCTCTCAAGGATCGTCAATGTCCACGAAAGCAATCAAGTTCGACAGACAATCCACCAAGAAGGCAGCCAGTGCACCTGCTCCGACAATCATGCTCTTCTCCGATAGTATGAAACGATGGAGGAAAGATGCCTGCATCAAGGAACAGTTCATCCAATACTTCACCGACCAGTGTTTCGAAGGCTACGAACTCGAGAAGAACACACCCTCCTTCAAGAACAAACTAAAGAGCGACAGGAACAAGATCATAAACAAATACAAAAGGCTCAAGCTAGTCATCAAAGTGATGCTCTACTTCTTCTGTGACAGCTTTCCCAGTCCCATCCCAGAAAACCCAACCGAATTATCAGCGTAGCAACGTCAACTCTTTATGACGGCAGAGATATATAAAAAGTACTAGTTTTAGGCAGACTACCTATCTGGTCCGGAGGACCTTTGTCAACGCTGGTACGAATCGAGCCCGAGGGCCCAAGCAACTGAGTCGTTTATGTGGGTGTTCGCACGACAGACACGAGGGGGATGCATTCATTTCATTGGAACAAGAGGATGTACCCATAGAAGCACGTTGGTCTAACTGCATAACTAGTTCGTCTCGTCTTTCGCCATCTCCTGGTCCCCACGGAGATTATTAGATGTTGGACTATGGTTCATTGTTCTCCCGCTCTCTAACAGGTTATCTCCCTATCCGTGATGAATTATTTGGTCCTTTGTGGTGCTCCTTTTCCTTTAATAATTACTGAACAAATAGCCATCTACTAGACAGTAGAGCTGGAAGGATATTGATTAAATTAGAGAAATTGTGCGTTCAAGTTCACACCTTTTCAACAGGTTCCTGACTGAGAAAAAGAATAATAATTTTAAAAGGAAGGGTACTAGCTAGCTAGAGTAGTAATAAGTATATTTATCAACGCAGAGCTGACGCAGAGTCTCAGTGACCATTCCGTTCTGCTTTGCCTTCGTTTGAAGCAATTTGGGATTCCACCAGATCTCAAGAGATCATTTGCCAAAAAGAAGGTTGGGCATCCAAAGAAAGACGACTGCAAGGCTGCAAGGTCACTACTTCTGTCGGGGATAGCTATCGGTACGAGCCTCTAGCTTTTCTTCTCCTCACAAATAATCACAACTCACGCTCTTTTCGAAAATTAATACAAATATCAACACGATGAGCGAAGCTATCAGCGACAGCAACAACAATAACGGAACCGACACAGAGGCTCCCGTCGTCGTGAACATGGCAAGATACAATCGCGACTTTGTGTCCGGGTGCATCGACGAGGCAAGGGGGTTTATCATTTTTCGCAAGGACCGGAAGGAAGGTGCCTTTGAGGAAGGCTGCAAAAAGCTACAGGAAGGATTGGAGAACTTGAAGCTCTACCCGAACCACAACAGCCGCCAGATTAAACAATCCAAGAGCCAAGAAGACAAGGCGGATGACTATTTCAAGGAGGGTAAATTCGAAAAGGCCTACAAGACCTACGAGAAGGCAATTCATTCGCTCAAGACACGCCAGCTCTCGCCTTCGGGATGTGCTTGTTGCATTGTGTCCCTTGTTGTCATTATCCCATTAATGTTTTTTACCGGGGGTGGTAATAGCAAAGGAACGGAGTGTTCCGCTGGATGTGGTTGTAATGACAAAGCCTTGCCCAAGGAACTTGACTAGTTAGCTGGATGGTGTGTGGGTTGTGGGTGAGCTTCCAGCTCCTAACTAGCTATCATAGAAGCTCATTAATGTTCGTGCCCAGACCTCACCTGAGCAGTAGTCTAGCTAGTATGGTACCGGAGCTGGCACCGGTAGCACCCAGTTAGCGCGTCAGATCGGATCGATCGATCGATCGATCATTATTTAGTTAGCACCACAAGGGACTCACAAGCATCAGGGACTCGCCCCCGGGACATGCACGGATCCATCGATCAATCAAGAACTTGAAGTTCTGGCCTTTATTAGAAAGTGGAATAAAGGGAAAACCTCCACCCTTCGAGAAGAGAAGAAAAGCGCTTGCCGCTAATAATAACCGGCAGAACCGCAGGGAGATGTTAAAAGAATCGGGAATTCTCGCTTTTTTGAACACCACCAGTTTATTCATTAGTGATTAACACACACTTACCCAAAGCTTTAACATCCACTTTTTGCTCTCTAGCTCTATTGTCCTTCAGTCCCGTATTTGAACACACACTTAGTCAATTTGGAGAAACAAGAGTTTCTGGTGATGCCTGAATCAAAACTCTCATTATTTCTTTGGTTTCATGATACAGCATGTTTACAGCTTGTTTGCCTTAGTGTTAAACAAAAGGGGAAGAAAACTGGTGGTGTTAAACAAAGCAGGGAAAAAGCTGGTGGTGTTTAAAAAACGGAGAATTCCGGCTTATTTTAACATCTCCCAGATGTCCCCCTCCTGACTCAACGTCCTCATCCATAGCCATTCACCCTTGCTCTGTATTTATTTTGTTTTTCACACTTGCTAGTAACTTTCCCGACTCTGCTAGCTAATATACATGTACCTGTTCTTCGACTATATAGATAGCTGGCTACAGCATCTATTGATCAATAGCTAGTAGTCAGATAGTGAGAGGAAAACAAGCATGACCAGGCAACCTTCGGAGAGTTTCCACGATGGAGGTACCTGTACCGTCAGTCCCAACCTTGATAGGGGGGAAGACCCATTACCAGAAGCTACATGTACTGTTTCAAGCACAGAACAGCAAACAACTCCAAGCGCTAGTATTATTCAAACCGCTACATGTACTGCAGACGATTGGGAATCCAACCCAAAACACAATACATCATCACAGAAGCAACACCAGGATGAAACCAAAAATACACAAGATGATGCCAAACGAAGACAATTTTGGATTTGGGGACTGGGGCTTATTTTGTTGGTGATTATCATCATTGTCATTGCCATTATTGCGGGGGTTGAGGGTGGCACAAACGACAAAAAAGACGAGGACAATCAAGAGACGCCTCCACCACCCACTACCGGTATTACCGATCCATCCTCTCCTCAGGCACGAACCCAACAATGGCTCGATGGCTATCCCAATTATGCCAGTCTCCCGAAATGGAGACGGGATCAACTACGAGGATTGGCCCTGTTTTATTATTCCTTTCATGGTGACACGTGGCCCGGACCCAAATGGACCTCCAAGCAAACACCCTGGCTGGATTACTCCAGCGACGACGTCGAGTGCATTTGGTACTCGGCATCCTTTGCGCATTCCAATTGCAATCATCTCGGACAATTCACATCCCTCGTGTTGAAAGATTTAAAGCTGGCTAATCATCATCAGGAGGAGGAGGAGGTTACGATTCCTACCGAAATGGTACATTTGCTGCCCTCGCTCGTCCAAATAGACTTGAGTTTCAATGACATTCACATGCCACTGGCAGAATTGCTCCCCTTGCAAGTTTTGGGCAACTGGACGTCTCTGTCCGCGCTCTATTTGGGATCCAACGCATTGACGGGCAGCATTCCGTCCGAATTGGGACTCCTCACGGCACTCACCGCTTTGGGGCTCTTCACCAATCAATTGACCTCGACCCTCCCCACAGAACTCGGACAATTGTCCTTGTTGGATCGATTACTGTTATCCAATAATCAACTGTCTGGGCGGCTGCCAGTAGAATTTGGAGTGTCCTTGACGAATTTGGAAGAAATGACGCTGAATACCAATCAATTATCGGGGTCCATTCCAACGGAATGGGGCTTGTTGTCATCTCGAATGTTCGATTGGAGGTTGTTTGAAAATCAATTGACCGGTGAGATTCCATCCGAGCTTGGTTTGTGCACCCAGCTTTGGTGGTTGGCTTTGAACGACAATCAACTGTCGTCGGCAATCCCAACAGAGTTGGGAAATCTAAGCGGTCTGCAAATTCTGTCCTTGCAGAGCAACCATCTAATTTCGGGGACCATTCCAGTGGAGCTTGGAAATGCCACAAAATTGGCCGAACTGGAACTTTCCAATCTACCAATGCTGACCGGAACAATTCCACCCGATCTATGGACGCAACTATCTTCGTTGAATCTAGAGGGCAGTGTGGGTGTGACGGGTACAATTCCAACTAGCTCTTGCGAGCGAGTACGATTTGACTGTTCCAATGCTCTTTGTGGCTGCGATTGTCCGTGTTCTGCAGCATAGGTCAAACGACTGCTCTTTCGTAGATCTATGGTGCATCACGCGCAATTTCTAACCCTCCGGTAAACAAATATAGCGCATTCGGGCCACGGGGACGACAAAAGAGAAACGCGGCCATACAGACAGCCGTCGACGTATTTGACATTACGCATCTCGGTGCCCCAGAGTTTATATCTCGGACTCGACTCGACTCGACTCGACTCGACTCGACTCGACTCGACTCGACTCGACTCGACTTTTGCACGAATGTGCCGATGCAAAATCGGCGTTCCTTATTACACCGCTTCCGTTGCAATCCTTGCTTGGGTACTGTGACGACTTGTAGCAGTGTGTTTCTATCTATCTATCTAGCTAGCTAGCTGTGAAACAACTTTTCTCTATTTAAAAACTATTGGTTCGTTTTGATTGCACTTCCCCACATTGCTGAATACTTTGCATGCCCTTGGCTTCTCTGTTTCATTATTGACTTTTCAGTTTCTCGGGTATGGATATAGATGATGATGATGAGAACGAGACCCGTCTCGTCATCACAAGGATCATTGTTGTCGCAACCATCACGACAGCACACCAGCAAGAAGTTACGCCAACATTCGTGCTTACGAGTACTTGTTCCCATAGTGCCATGGGGGCAAGCACCGCCATGGTCCATACCAACAGGAGCATTTGTACTGCTAAGTTTTGCCGATTGGCCCATTCGGCCAACTGGAATCCCACGGACGCAAACTTGGCATATCCAGTGTCCATCATAGTAGTATCAATCACGGTCAAGTAGTTGTGACAAATGCCTCTCGTGGCATGATAGTTGTAGTGGAGACAAGCCAATCGAATGGGTGCCATGTAAAAGACATGAATGAATGTCTGCCACGACATGATGGTGTATTGCTGTTGGAGTTGCATGTATTCGTTGTTGCCCAGAATCGAAACATAGGTCGATGTCAAAATGCCATTGACCACAATTGTTCCATCGGGCGTTATGGGTGCGTACATGCCCTGCCGATAGACTGTTTCAATATTGGTAACTCTGGCGGTTGTTGTTGTTGCTCTTGTCAGTGTTGTGTTTTGGACTGTATGGTGGCTTGTTGTTGGTATGGTGGTGGTGTCCTGCTTCATCATTATCATTTCTGGAACTCGAATGAGAGCATCCCCTACAACCAGCGATTTGGCTGCCACCGGGTTTTCTTTTCCTTGGACAAACAGCAAGTGATCACCCGAAATCTCCAGTTTGCTGGTACTAGCATGATCGTCCATGGTTTCGATTTCTAGGTATTCCATGATGGCATCCTTTTGTACATGTGCCATGGCATAAATGGGTTGGAAGGTTTGTGGATGTATCGTCTGAACCAGATCTCCCACTTGTAACTCTTTCATTGAGACGCGTCCCTTGTTTCTGACCAGTACCGTCATGTCACTGGAAAAACACGCCCCTGGTGTGGGCGCTGGTTGTGCCGGTTCGACGGGTGCCGGCGTGGGAGCATTCGTGGTGGTATCACACCGAATATCCATGGCATTGTCGGTAGCGGTTGTGGAAATATCGTCGGCAATCACTTGGATGAATGCCCGTGCCGTGGATGTGGTGCTGGCGGCACAGGTTTCCGAATTGCTGCCAATGGTTGCAGCATTCACATTGGCCATGCAGTCGTAGTCGGTACCCGCAGTGCCAAAGGCATCGGGAAGGTTTCCGTAGCGAATGGCTAGAATCAAGTCGACCGTGTTGATGCTGGAAACAGTACACGTGGTAGAGCTTCCAGCTGCTGTGTCCACATTGAGCATGAAAAAATTGAATCGAGGTTCTGTCCGGACCTAATGTTCCGCGGTGAGAAAAAGAAAGAAAGAACTAAAAATCAGAACATAGCTATCACAACAGCAGTCCCGGCATTGCTGTCATTGTCCTTCCATTCCATTACTCACCCTGACAAACTCATCTACTCCATTAGCAATCTCTGTGAATGTGACGGCAGCAGCAGCGTTGCTAAGGATGGAGAGCCACACGGCCAAAGAGCACCCGACCTTCATCATCATCTTGATTGATCAATTGATTGACTTGTCTATTGTAGTGTTACTATGGCATAGAGAACTAAACCAGAATCATTCCGGTTTATGATTCCGTTTGATGCCATGCATGCAACGCTGGATTGATCTCTCGTTCTGGATTTTGGATCTTTGTCAAACTTGTGCATTAACTTTCACCCTATCTACTGCACCTTATTTACGGAGGACGGCCAGACACAATTCTACGTGGAGGCCCGTAGGACACAAAAATCAGAGGAGAGCGACGCTCTCACGACAAAACCAGCAGCAAAAGCATGCAGTCGGCCACCACCACGCCACCACACACTTTGGTGGTCGTCAGTAGTGTAGCATCATAGATAGATCTTTGTTGTCGACTCTGTTGTGCGAGAGTAAGAAGTAGAAGATAGAGTGGAAGAGAGAGTTGAAGAATACATCAGTCAGAATGGTTGTCTAAATTTGGAGATTGAAGCTTTCGCTGGTGCTCTTTTTGTGTGTTGAGTAAAAGACTTCACCGCTAGCTATCTAGCTAGACTGCTAGGAGTGACAGTGATTCAGGTCAGGTCAGGTCAGATCAGATCAGATCAGTTGGTGGTCGCGTCGCAATGGAGGACCAAAGCACTCCCAGTGGTCCGAGTAGCAGCAGTGTGTGTAGTAGTAGTGGCAGTGTGGGTGGTGGTGCTAATACTAATAGTAGCGCCAAGAAGCGACGAGCTGAGGTTGGTGAAATGGCAGACCAAGCTCCTTGTGTCAAAAAACCAAAGTTGACCAGAAAGGAATTGTTGGAACAAGCCAAGGCTCGATTGAGGGAAGCTCAAGAAAAAAAGAAGCTGCTCCAACAGAAACTGGAAGAAGAACAAGCCGAACAACAAGCGACTAGTACTACTAGTATGAACGAAGACTACTTTTACTATCATGAATATGACTATGAGTACCACATTCCACCCGTCACTGGATCCAAAGACAGTCTACTCATCACTCACATTGAGTCCACTGGTCCTGCAGAGAAAGTCAGGTTCCAAAAGGAAGATGAACATTCCTGTATTGAAGCCGTCATGACCATCATCACCAATAGAAGACGGTCTCTTTCACCCAGCAATAACAACAGCAATAACAATGCTGCCAATCCTCAAGGACCACCACAGAAAACAATTCCAAGCATACCTCCTCCTCCCAGGGAAACTATCAGCAAACCAATCACTAGTGAAGGAAGTACTACTGGTAGTGACAACAACCCAAAACCGGCGGCTCTCGATGAAGGACTCAAGAGTCAAAGGCCCACTCATTACCACAAACGGACTAACAGCAACAGCAATGGAGACCAGCAACTACCGCATCCCGCTGCCAATCCAATAGAACGGCGTCATTCTCACACACAACCAACGCAGCCACTCAGAATGCCGCCCCGACAAACGACCAGCAATAGCAACAACAATCCTCGAACAAATCGACCACAGCCACCACCACCGTCAGCATCAGGACCCGACAAACCAAAGGAAAATCCACGACGAAACTCCAATGGGCCACAGCAATTGCAGCAGTCTCAGCAGCAACGTCCACCATCCGCACCACCACAAAAGCGACCTTGGACACTGGCTCTGGCACAAGTGACCGGCAGAACGATTGACTTCACGGCCGATCTACCCACCAAAACGCCATACTTGATAAGAACACAAGATCAAGGTGTCGTTGCCCATGTACAGTTCTTTTCCAGTCCAGATAATCCGGCACTGTTGCAACACCATCCATCCAAACGACATTTACAAGATCATTTCGCACCCATAGGGAGACTGCCGTCCAACAACTCCAGTCAGTCATGGAAAGGACAAGAGGTGCTTTCCTTTCTCAAACATCAAGATGAACGACGCAAAACATATCAGCCCCCGGCACGACGCAATTTGCCCTTTACTCATTGGGCACTCCTTGATCTGGAACAACCACTCCATCAAGCCATTGAATCGTTGGGGTACTTTACCGCAGCGCCAGCAGTCAAAAATAATGGAAATGGAAGCAGCAGCAGCAATAACGACATTAGTTTTGCGGGAAAACTCATTTGGAACATGCACGACTTCTATCAGCAACGAAACAACAACAACAACGCTGCTGCGTCATCTTCCTCGAAACTCAGCAAATGGGGTGAAGTGGTGTCGGCGGTGGCGACCTCGGGAATACGCAATAGTCCTTTGATTGCCACGGTCCAGGGATTTTACGAATCGGCAGCCAATACGAAACAACAGCAGGCGCAACAGCAACCCATCATGCCACCGGCCCTGAGGGCTCGCAAAGTCATTCTACCCAAGTCACGAACGATTGGAATCATCATTGGTTCCAATGCACGCATGTCGGAACAGCCGACCAACAATAATCCACAAGTGGGATGTTGTCAAGTCTTGTTTCCGAATGGCATGGCCAGTGGACCGCCGTCGGCACAGTCCCTCAAGGGTGCCAGAGCCATCTTGTACGATTGATCGATCAAGTGCTAATATTACGAGACAGACGTGGGCCGTCTCAACAATTAAGGCAAGGTGCTCCGATAGGAGGAGCAAGCAATTCACGGTAAGCGTATTGCTGTCGTTGTCGTCTGGATCTTAATGTCCTACTGTTGTTGTGTACTCACAATCGGGGTCAACGGGTGGCCCCGCCCATTAGCTGGAGAGTTTGGTATCAGGTATGGTTGGACGTTGGTTTCGTCAGGAAAAAGGAGAAAAAGGGTTGGGAACAAGGTCGAATTATCAAAAGCATTTTGTCCCTGTTGCTGTCCTATTCATCTTTTTTGTCTCGAGAAATTAAATGGAATTGGCTGCGGTGGCGCCGAAGGCTAACCGAGTTCGCTTCACTGCTTCCAGGACAGTGGTTTGCTTCTACTGACATATACTTCCTATTGAAGCAGGTGGTGTCTTTCTGGCACATGTAGTCCCTCATGAAGGAAAGTTTCTTGGTAAGTGTTGTTTCATTCAGATGGGTGGGGAACCAAATCTAGAAGCCGTGGTTGTTGACGTGTGACCTTGTCTTTGTACCGATCGAGGGAAGGTCCGGAATCCCGTCTTATCGAGAGCCTCACGTGGAAACATCTCATCTTTGGGTCACTGGGCACCGTATGCAAAATCGCAACAAGAGAGGAAGCCTGAAGCTTGCTGGTACACCGCTTGGTATTTGGAGATTTGGCTTGGTACGGATGTATTCGAGGAAGCAAAGGAGGCGGAGTGAAGAACGGATACGCATTGGGTAGTCATTTTATCTAGATAGGTTGGTCAATTGTGTTCTACGCTTACTGTGCTTTCTGTGCTTTTAAGCAGCTGCCATCCACATTTGAGCGTCAATCAGGTTGGCTTGGCTCGAAGTAGTGCCAAACTATTCGATTATCCAACACAATAGTTCGAGTGAATGAAACCACATAAGCACTCACTGCTCATCGCGGATCAGTTGACGTTGGTTGTGGTTTCTGCTTGCTAGAAACACGGCAGCAGCAAACAACAAGTAGAACACTCCATTCCCCCCAGAGGCCCCTCTAACTGCATAGTAACCAACTTTCAACACGGTCTTTTCTAACAAGGAGAACACTGGTCGTAAGCTCGAATCCGACATCGAAAGAAAAATCGTCGAAGTGGTTGTCAGCGTCGTCAAAGCAGCACAGGCAGTCGTCCGACGCCGGCTCACAGGTGTCATCTTCATTACTTGCAACGTAGCACTGGTCATCTCCAGCTCCATCAAGTGTGCCGCCCCAGCGTGAAAGAACGGTGAAGTGGGAGGATGAGACTGAAACATCTTGGGCTCTCGAACAGTCGGCTTTGGGGGCATCAACCCCAATTGCCAACCCAAATCAATCTTCATTGTTTGTTTTTGCAATCGTTCTTTGGGGCTCGATAAAGTCGTATGATAGTTTTGTGTGAAGGAAGCGATCCCTCTCGCGATCGCGTCGACGGCAGTGCACCGTGGCGAAGCATCGTGGAAACTCAAACGCGCTCATCGTCAAATGTTAATTTCGGATGGCCGTCAACCGACGCACAATCGTGGAACCGTGTGGCTTCATCAGTCAGGATGTGTCGAGACCCCAACGCCATTGAAGCCATGGTGGCTAAGCATACAGTTGATCTGGAGCAACAATTTTGCTGCGCTATGAGCAGATAACTAGCTAGCGTTGCGGATGATTGGATTTGATGTACACGAAATGGTTCGCGAACTTCCTTCGGTTTATCCACTACGGGAGCTCGTGTCTTTCGTTTACTTTTTGCGTCCTTGGTGAGTGGCGAGTTTTCTTCCTTACTTGTCCGCCTCTTTCCACTGAGAGTTGCAGTTGGCTGTCTTGGTAGTGATGTGACACTCCGTCACTCGGTACATTGTTCTGAGACGCATGCCTGCTGGTTCGATCGCCATGGTGATGCTTTCTCTGGCTGCTCATCATCAAATCGCTGGATGCGTCAAATAGCTGGCTGCTAGACGTGATGAGATACTAACATAGATCTCCACCAATCAATAGCCAGCCAATTGAAAACTTGCTTGCTGTTCAATGGCGCTGTTTCTTGACATAAATTCCGCACAGACACTCCCATTCTTCATGTACCCATACCGGTACCGGTACACGGATCCCATTCCTACATGTATCCGTACATGCACTCGTGCAGACTCAATATATGCTCAGCACTCCTGTGCACTGCACTGCACTGCTTGACTCTATATTCCTGATGCGTCCACTTAATTCTGGGAATCAAACATCCTTGTCGAGGACCGCACTGATCCGACGCTCCGTGCGACCTGTTGAACACGGATCATGCATTCGGAGGATCATTGAATGATTCAATCGAATCCTCCGAAGCCCCTTGCATCCAATCATCGCCTTGCCATCGTCACACGTCGCCACTGTCCGAGCCGATCATTCCTATGTACAGGTATGTACCGCGACAGTTTAGTGACCAGTGGACATGGTAGCTACGTTTCTTGAACAACGAGGAGCACGTATCTGGACTAAACTCAAGCAAGATCCACTCCGCTCTGCACCGCATCCATTTCCGGGCCACACTTTTGAACGAGCTCCAAGTCCCCTTCAGGACCCCCACTCCAGTCTACCGTACATTGCACGAAGCTGATGCATGGTAGCATCAAAAGGAAACGATGAAAGTTCACATATCCACTGGAGTATGCCTGCAAATAGTAGAAATGTTACCCTTGATTACAGCACTTGTCTGTGCATTAGGCGCGTGGAGTTCCTCTGCCGGGTTTCGTAGGTAACTTCCCTACTCTAGACCCCCCTTTACATCAAGCTTAGCATGGGGCACAGTTGCACCCGCACAAGACAGTACCCTGACAAACAGACGTGGTCATCTTCTTTGGATAACATCCATGTGGGCCATAGCATTCCAATTCATTCCTGTGAAGAAGATGACAGAGGCCATCTGGGATACTACCATACAGAGAAGTATTAGCAACTGAAATACCAGTCAAATTGGGCAAAACCAGTAGCTCTGAGGGGAGCTCCCCAGAAAGGGAGGTGGATTGCAGCTCTAGCTCTTTGAGGTTGGTCAACAAGCCTATTTCAGAAGCAAGAGATCCAGAAAAATGTGTGTTGTGGAGGTGCAAAACCTCTAGTTTCCTTAGGCTTTGAAACAGTTGTGGTGGTAAGTGACCAGTCAATATGTTGGAATTTAACACCAAAAATCTCAAACCTGCCATAGTCAAGTCAAGCAAGCAGCTTAGTATTGAAGAAACATCCTACTCACCATAAAATGATTGCACTTCTCCTCCACTTACCAAAGAGCAGATACAACTCTGATGGTACAGAGCTTGACAGTAAATTCTCTTGTAAATCTAGTGCTGTCTGTTGTATGAGCCACAACAAAGAAATGGACAGAGAATTAATAAAAATCAGCATGCCGTTTTGAACATCATAGTATTGACGTTTACTTACAAGCTGTGTCAGTTCTCCGATTTCACTGGGTATTGCATTGCTCAATTGAAACCTATTCAAGGAAAGAGAAATCAGGCTTGACAATCTTCCCATATTGTCTGAAAAATGCACAACCAAGGTAGAATTAGGAGTCATCAATTGCACCAGTGGACTGCGAACCAACCATTGATTTGAACTTACAAGGAAAGGAGCCCGTCCCCTGATTGCCCTGCAGAACAACTCTTTCTAAGTGAAGCATCTGAGTTGCAGCAAGGGCAGGTATGATGGGCCCAAGATCAATTCCAGGACAGTCACCCAACCAGAAAAATGCCATACTTGGCAACTGGTAGAGTTCCTTGGGAAGTGTTCCTAAAAGTCGATTATTAGATTGAGAAGAACAATCCTCAACAACATTAGCATCCATAGGAAACTGTATTTACCTGATAAACCCATGCTAAACAAAGATAGCCGGGTTAAACCACTCAAGAGCCCTAACTCTGATGGGATTTGGCCTGTGATTTCCTTGGATGCCAGTTCTAGCTCCTTCAAGTCTCGCAGCAGACCCATCTCTGTTGGAATGCTGCCTGATAGATCAGTCATTTTCGAGTCCCAAACTCTTAGGTTTGTCAGCAATCCAATTTCTGTGGGAATACCACCAGAAAGCTTTGTCATAAATGTGAGCAAAACTGTCAGCTTTGTCAGCAGCCCAATTTCTGATGGAATTTGCCCATTTAATTCCATGTTGCCTAGTAGATTCAGACGTGTCAAAGTGGCACTCAGCAGAGACATCTCTTTCGGGATTGTGCCTGCCAACTTATTGCGTAGAAATGACAAGCTTTGAATGTGCCCAGAATCATCACACTGAAAGCTGGAAAAATCCTCTTTTAATGTGAATTGTTGTTCCCAATAGCACTCATGGGTCTCCCAGTCCAACCAGCTATGGTGATTTACCCAATGTTCTCCCCGGGTGGCAAAGAAGAATGTTGCCAGTGCAAACCTTTGTTTCAGCCTCCATTTTGGATAGGTGCCGAGACTTTGCTGGTTCTCCAGGAACCATTGGTATGCCTTGTATTGGGGACATCTATGATCCTGCATTGCTTCCAGGGTGTAGTCAGGAAGATTGAGACCCTTCAATATCCCATCCATGAAAGTGGTTGGAGCTTGTGTAGCTCCATGGCCATCTGTGTGCATGTAGATAGCTCCATTCTGTTGTTTCAGCTGTGGTACCTTCTGTGTCAACCTGTTGTTTCTGAATGAAACCACCAAAGCAATCCCAATAATCACCATGATTCCCACCAGCATCTCCACAGTCAACGACAAGAATATCTTTTTCTTCCAAACAATTTTTGCCCTTTCCGACATTGGTTTTGCTGTTGGCAGTTCTCCCCTTTCAGAATCATCGTTGATGGGCTGGGCATGAACAAGAGTCTCGTTTTCAGCTGAACATGATTGTCCCAAACTAGAGCTGAAACTAGTAGGCTCAGAATCATTGGCAACTTCATTGTTTGTCATTGCCACGGATGGCATTCTTGGATGATAAAATGCTGGTCTTATCCCCCCACCCAACGCGTAGGCTCCTGGTTCCACCTCTCTGGTCCTTCTTCCTCCTCTGTGCAGAGATGGTGGAGCCACATCTGGTAGTGGTTGAATGTCATCCATGATACCAGGATATTGGAAGAACTGGTCACGTCCCGGAGACCTACCGGTACCGTTGAACGATGGTGATGGCTTTTTCTGCTCCACCATTTCTATTCCATCAATAAGTTCTTTCTGTTTTTTCGTTCCCATTATTGTGATTGCGTCTTCCTGATCGGCAGGCATCAAGAGTTGACAATCTACTTTGCGTTGTTCCCTGTGCTCTTGTTCGACCGTTTCCATCCCTGCTTCCTCATCGTTGTCGTGGTCGTGATGACCGGTACCGAGTGACAGTCGATTGCGCGTCGGTTCACTTCTGGTTTTGCGCAGTGATAGGGAGCATATAATGCAAACCGTATGCACATATTCTACCGTAAAAGCATGTTTTATGCACATATTAAGGGTCGTACGCATAGTTTATGCCCATTTTTTAGGTTGGCTTTTGCATATATGGAAGCAATGTATGGGCCCCATAGTATGGTTAATACCGTACCCTCGCCCTTAACGAAATATCATCTTACCTCTTACTCAACTCACGCTTCACATCAAGCTCGCTTTCTCGTCATTTTGGAAGAGGGACCATGGCAGAGTAGATCAATCGATTATCGTTTCCACCATGCCAGTTGTCTATACCACGGCGACCACGGCTGAGCAGCAGCAACCCAAGAAGAAGAAACCAATTCTTGGAGCAAGTACTTTTGTCTACGAGTCTCCAAATGCAGTTGAGCCACCACATCTAAGAAGCGCATTTTAGCCACCCAATTTACCAGTGTGCTTGTGCGTGATGGTCTTGTGCAAGAGCCTCTACAGTCCGATGCAGGTGCCTACTATTAACTCAGCTTTGCGTCAACCAAATGATCTTGATGTTGGCCTATAGATTCGTACGGTAACATTGCGTCATAATAAGCAAGGCTAAACTAGTGTTTACGCATATGCTTAACCGAAAGTGCATGGAACAGACATCTTTACTATTGAAAGATTCTTGTGGGTGCGCTGCTTCACATGCAAATTGGCACATTCTTTGTGCACCCAGCCATAAACAGTTTTCGCAATCGGCATTCATTTTCCTTATGCCCCTTGGACCTGACCGCATTCTTGCGCTTTATCCAAGAGCAAAAACTTTGGCCACCCCTCAAATCTTTTCCAGTTGCACAAAATAAACACGCACGATGGTCAAATTCATGTGCCCGTACTGCTTAAAAACGTGCAAGACCGACATGGGGTTTGAAGCGGCACAAGGATACAGTTTGCCGAATCCCGCATTCGATTCAGACACGGATGACCTGACTCCCACGAAGAAGACCGTGGGGATGATGACAATGGCGGTGGTGAAAAAGGAGAGCAAGAGATGATGAGGGGAAAAGCAGTGCAGAGGAAATAGTGTTGAGGAGAAGGATAGAGATGCATTGAGCCAGATTAGGGCCATAGATCTCTC